GATATAGATATAGATATAGATATAGATATAGATATAGATATAGATATGCAGGTCTTGGCGTGTTCGGGTCTTTTCCCGTGTAAGATTAAAAGTATCTTGGCAACGTTTCGACGAGGTCCCACTTGCCATCTTCAGGCTGGTGCTTTCGGCTTTGTGCTTGTGTGAGCAAAGCGTGATCGGAGCTGCCGTCTCCCTATATATCCTGGTGGGGAGGTTGGCAGCTCCAATCATGCTTTGCTCGCACAAGCACAAAGCCGAAAGCACCAGCCTGAAGATGGCGAGTGGGACCTCGTTGAAACATTGCCAAGATACTCTCAATCTTACACGGGAAAAGACCCGAACACGCCAAGACCTGCATACCTGTACCCGTGAAAATCTACGAATATATATATATGTATATGTATATGTATATGTATCACAGGTGAATTGGTTACTAATAGATGTAGAAGCTTATAAATCTTAGATCTCTTTGCAAGGAGAGAAAGCTATTATTCCTGTAACATATTTGTTAGTGCTCAACTAGACAGAATAATATGAATTTCTGTTTTTTGTCTTTTAATTCACATTTTTTAAAATTTCCATCTAGTTTTGTCTTACTTTTGTCATTTTTTTCTTTTTTTTCCTTTGGAGTTTGTATTTTAATTTTCTGTGTTAAAAAAAAAAAAAAAAAAAAAGGAACATTAATCAAAAGATTGTAAGTGCCATCCCAAAACATTCTGTTGTTCTCACTCTTGAATTGTCAAACATATTGTGAAAGATTTGTGCACAGTGAGATAAATTTGTAAGGAGTAGAATTTATAAAGATATATTCATAATCGGTGTATAAAGAGAAAAAAATAAGCATTTTTAGCACATACATTCTGTTCAACAGACTTGTAGGAAATGTTCATACTTCAACAGCATTTTGTGCAGTAGTTGATTTACTATGTAATCTCCAACAGGACTTTACTATTATGTAAATACAGACTTACTCTGCTTAGAGCAGACATATTGAAATTAATGGAGTTTACATTAAATGAAACCACATTAATTTCAATTGATCTGTGTGGTTAGATTTCATTCTATTGCTACGTTATTGTTTACACACACAAAAACCCTTATATACAGCCCAATCTTAAGTAAATTTGCTCGATATAGTTCTTGCTCACTTTAACTGATTGAACTCTGTTCACTAGGCATTGCAGTCTTATGTTTTCATCAATGGTAAAGGCTATGAAGAAAGGACATATATAAGGGAGGAGTGAAGGAGAATCCAAGGTCCACATGACCTTGTGTATTTTTCCAGTTCTTATGGTTCCAAGGCAAATGTTCCACTTTAATCTGAAGTCCTTGGCACATATCTTTTGAGCATAACCGCTGAGGAAATTTGAGATTATATTAAGATATTGATATTAAATTGATATTAAATATATATTAAATATATTTAATACTAATATTAGTTCAATGTTAGGTCATACCAGAACCTCCTAACAGGCCCTGCTAGCAGTGTTATCATGTTAGTGATATACTTCTGAATGTACTGTAAAAAGCTTTATCATGACATCTTTTTTTTCTGTATCAGTGACAATTAAACATAGAGTAATAGAATCTTCAGATTTGCATGGTAGGCTCTTTCAAATAATGTCTTCCAGTTTCTTAATGTTTTTGATTCTTGAAAACCAGACATGAACTATATTGCTGTTTTTTACTGGTCCCACTAATATAATCTTGGTTTGCTTGTTACAATATTTTTCCTTACCTATTCCATAGCCCAAGGATCAAAGAACTAATGTATCCATGATTAGTTTTCATGTGTTATATCCGTATTTCCCTGCTTCTTATTTTTCAACTAAAATTGTCAAACATTTGTTTTCAACGATGTTTTTTGGACCAATTCAACAAACTTCAGGATGAAATTTATTTATTTATTTGATTTGATTTGATTTGTCAATTGCTTACAAAATAATAGGTATAAGTATAAACATGAGTAAGAATACAGAAAATAGGTACGATTAAATGGGGACAATAGGACAGGGATGGGAGGCATGATGGTGCACTTATACACACCCCTTACAGACCTCTTAGGAATGGGGTGAGGTCAATAGTGGATAGTTTGAGGTTAAAGGAGTGGGGGTTTGAGGATGTAACTACAGCGTCAGTAGTGCATTCCAGGCATTGACCATTCTGTTGCTGAAGTTGTACTTTCTGCAATCAAGTTTGGAGCGGTTAACATTGAGTTTGTATCTCTTGTGTGCTCTTGTATTGTTGCGGTTGAAGCTGAAGTAGTCATTGATTGGTAGGACATTGTAGCAGATAATTTTGTGTACTACGCTTAAGTCCAACCATAGGCGGCGTAATTCAAGATTGTTCAAGCCCAAAATTTCAAGTCTGGTGATAGGTATTCTGTTGCGAGCAGAGGAGCGTAGTACTCTTCTGGACTCGCTCAATTGTATTAATGTCTGATATACAGTGCAGATTCCAGACAGATGAGTTGTATTCAAGTATTGGTCTAGCAAAGGTTTTGTATGCCCTAGTTAGCAATTCAATATTTCCAGAGGAGAAGCTTTGTAAGATTAGATTTACAACTCTTAATGCCTTTTTGGCAATGTTGTTACAGTGAACTCTGGTGCTTAGGTCATTAGATATGAGTACTCCTAGGTCCTTGACAGAGTGAGGGTCATCAATGAGGTCATAGCCGCCTAGTTTGTATTTGGCGTGCTGATTTTTTTTACCAATGTGTAGGACAGAGCATTTGTTGGTCGAGATTTGGAGTTGCCAATTGTTTGACCATTCAGACACATAATCAAGGTCACTTTGAAGAGCAATAGAATTGTTGGTGGTGTTGAATAGTTTTACATCCTCCACAAAGAGGACCCAGTTGCTTATAAGGTGATCGCAAATGTCATTTATATAGAGTATAAAGAGTGTGTGTCCTAGAACGCTGCCTTGGGGGACACCGCTGTTAACTGGAGCAGGGTTTGATAAAAATAGGAGTGCCCTATTTTTACTATTTGTTGCCTGTTTTACAGGAATGCAGTAATCCACTTATGAAGGGATCCACAAATGCCGTAAGAGTTTAGTTTTAACAGTAGTTTGTCATGTACCATTGAATCAAAGGCTTTGCAGAAGTCTATGTAAATTGCATCTATTGCTTTACCCTGGTTGAGTAGAGTAGTCCATATGTTTTTGCAGCGTAGGAGTTGTAGGTTGCAGGACAATTTTTTCCTGAAACCAAATTGTTTTTTGGAGAGTAGGTTGTTTGACTCTAAGTGGAGGGTGATGAATTGGTTAATGATTGATTCCATGACTTTGCACGTGACACAACATAGTGAGATTGGTCTGTAGTTTTCAACCAGGCTGGGGTCACCTTTTTTGAAGATAGGGATGACTGTAGCTAAGGACTATAGGTTCGGTAAGGAGCTGGTTCTGAATGATATATCATATATAATGCTTAGGGGTTCTGCTATGGCAGAGAAAAGCTTTTTTAAGAAGTATGCACATAATCCATCGGGGCCAATAGATAGGGATGGTTTTAGATTACATAATGCCTTTTCTATGTTATCTTCTGTAAAGTCAATATGTAGCAGATCATTGCAGTTAGTTGTGGTACGACTAGGAAATGTGGGGCATGAGCCATTGCTGTTAACAAAGACTGAGCTGAAGAATGTGTTGAAGAGGTTGGCCTTAACAGCTTCATCGCTGCAGTATTTCCCATTTGGTCCCTTTAGAGGTGGGATAGTTCTTGAGTCTTTAAGTTTGGTGTTTATAAAATTGTAGAAGGCACGAGTAGATTTTGTACATAGGAAGTTTTCCTCTTGTTTGCAGTAATAATTTGTGCATTCTGCCTTTATCTTTCAGCATAAGGTGTTGTATTGGTTTTTAAAGTTTGC